CATGCAGGTAGTCCTTGACTTACAACCGTTCACTTTAGTCTTTAAGTTATTACAACAGCACTGAAAAAAATGTGACTTACAACCAGTCCTCACACTTATGATTGTGGCAGCATGTCTACAGTGAACATTTAGGCAATTCGCAACCGGTGGCTACAACATCCTAGGGTGATGTGATCATCATTTATGACCTTCTAACAGTCCGATTTACTTAACAACTGCAGTTGTGGTGCAGTGGCTAAAAGGCAGGATTGCGGGCTAACTCACTGCTCACTCCAGGAATTCGACTCTTGACTGGCTCCAACAATCTGGGTCAAATGAGGACCCAGATTGTTGGGGGCAAGAGGCTGACTCTGTCAACCGCTTTGAGAGGGGTGTAAAACACTATGAAGTGGTATATACGTCTTATTGCTATTTGCTTAACCACGATGACGAAAAAGATCGTAAAATCACACAAAGCTCATTTAATAACTGGCATGCTTAACAACGAATATTCTGTTCCCAACTGTGGTAGTAAATCAAGGATTATCTTTAAATTTTAGAAAGGGTTACTGTTAATTCTAAATTTATTTTTCACTTATACAATCTTGGGACAGCGAACTGTTGTTATCATAATTCTGAAGGTTCAATCATCTCTGCTTCCTTCTTGACACATTGGCCCAGGTCTTAGTTCTTACCCATTTGTCTGAGTGGTGCTGGGTAGATGATGCCCGTCTGTATTATCTGTCTGCGGTATCATGACAGTGGGTTCCAATGGGGTTGGCGCCGGAGATGTCCTCTTCCTCGCTTCTTCCTGCTCACGATGTTCTTTCTCTTCCAGCTGGGCGGGGAGGGGGGAATCATTAGCCTCATACCAGAATTTAGTGCTATGAAAGGACACTAAATAAGTCCAGAAGGATTTATTTATGACATTTATATGCCACCAATCTTGCTGTCCAAAGCAACTTCATAAAGGGAAATTGATTTTCCCGGTCTTGGAATACTATAATTTAAGAAGAATAAATTTGACCTATAATATAGCCCTGCCTCTTTTGAAGCTTCGTGACTGCCCCATGAATTGCCCTTTTATCCTTACAAGAAACTGCAAGGAAAATTTGGAGGCGAGAGACTCCAGATTATGCAGGGAACTTCATGTCTAATGAAGGATTTGAACCCAGGCCTCTTCAGACTACATGAGCAATCTAACCCTCACAATATATTGCTGAAAGTTTTGTAATTTTTTTTAAAAAAATTAAAAAGCAAGTATTTCACCAGACAAAACAAGCACTAGATGAAATAAAATTTGACCCACAAAACTTGATAATTAATTTTTGAGTGAATTTATTCAAAAATGACACACGCCTCTATTAGAGTTTGTTAACTGTTTGGACTGCAAGGCCATCCAACCAGTCAGTCCTAGAGGAGATCCACCCTGTCTGCTCTTTAGAAGGCCAGATCCTGAAAGGGAAACTCAAAT